TTCTGCTACACATTAAGGACATCTTCCTAGGCTGTAGGTACTGCACACCATACACACTTGCCGATGAGAACGAAGTTGTAATTTCTTTCAAACATAGCTACATACAAAATGACCTCTATACATTGTGAACGACCATCGCGCTCTCGAACGTTGGTGCGATATTTGGAGACTAGAATTCTTATAAATTAATATATAACTACATTCTTTATTCGCGTGCAGTGCGAAAGATACCTAAGTAAGTATAATCATGTTAAAGGTACAACTAAATGTCGGGGAATGTATAAAACATGATGCAAGTTAGCCATGAACATTGGAGCTGAGAGTCGTACATGTATGTAGAAGTGCATGTGTTTATCTGTTATTCCAGTTTGAATATGTGCCAATACAATCGTGATAGATCGCGTGAATAGTATGAGAAGGATTGATGGACGTTCATGGTGGGAGTGTGGTGGGAAGGTTTTGCTAATCATGGGGCCGTGACGTTAGTTAAAACGAGTCACAGCCACCTCGTCACATTGCTGGTAAACAGAATCAGTGGCATTTCATAGGGAGAAGGCTTCCCATGCGAAAACCCACAACGTCCTGGAGCACTGTCGCTAAACGTTTGCTGGAGCAAGGTAGACCCGAACCACCCAGTTGGTGTCAAGGGGAAGTAGTGTTTTCGTTGTCGATGGAGCAGCCCGCGATTGCTGACAAGCCCTAAGTGAGGGATTAGACGCTTGACAGGCAGGACAAAGGGTTAGGTAGTTATGGAGTGATTCAGGTATAATGTGGTAATCATTAGTTTTGAAGGATTTTTGTGGACAGACCTTGGCTGATCCATTCCTCTGGATAAGGACATCCAGATCAAATTGTTCAGTGATATTAGACCAGGATGGGAGTGAGTGTGTTGGAGATCTGATTTGATCCACTTTTGACTTTGTACTTTTATTCGGTCGCGGACAAACAGGCCAGGTGTGTACCTTGATACGTTTCTGTTGATAGAATTAGACCTCGAGGAAGAGAAGAGAAAAGTAAAGAGAAGAATAGCAGCGAAGACTATCAAGGAAACATGGGCCAAGATGTGGGGTGAATGTAAAGTCATATATGTTACAACATGGTAAAATTGATACATGAAGAGAAAAGAAAATATTTCGTATTTCGTATTCGGCGACCATCTAACATACCTATGCGGGCGATTTTTGCGTAATAACTAGAAGCAGGAATAGGAGGATGAATAAGGACAAAGAGAAGACGGTGACGAGTAAAATAAAAAAGAGAAACTAAATAGGAAAGCCTAGAAGTGGGCCGAATGTATAGGTGCAATTTGCCTTGAAAGTACTTTTCAAGCGGGTTGGTGTCTATAGCAATGAAATATGAAATACCGATAAGTTACCACGTCAAACTAAATGTAAGAAAAGAAGGTGCAAACACAGTTTTGCAACTCAGTCAGCAACAGCATTCTAGGAAGGAGCATCAGACAGTAGAAATGGAAATGAGAGGTGTCATGTAGCTAGGCACAGAGCCACGCTTAGAGTCCATTAGTTTCAGAGCAATAACAAGGTAAGAAATGCTGATCGTACTGATTTAATCCAAGGCCTGGTTACGGTTAAAAGCAAAATAATTTCAACGAGATCTGTTGCAGACCAGGCTTTTATGCCTCAGCGTAATAAGCGATGTAAGGAAACAGCAAAGGCAAGTGAGGCAATACGAGACGAACGCATCAGGCAGACAACAAGCAAGCCAAGAGAAATGGGAGTGGGATAAGCACAGTATAGCATTAATGGCTTTAGGGTAAAAATGTGGAGCAACAGCAAGCAAAGCAGGAGAACCGAAAAGGATCAGTGTAAGTGTCAATTCTGAGTTAGTTAACCTCAGTCGCTCAAAAGCTGTAGGAAAAAAAGACGAGACAGCTTAGACGTAACCGGATTAGGCCGACAAAAGCGAATATTCGGCTAAACAGACGTGGGATGAAAATTAAAGTGGTAAGCAGATTTGCAGGTCACAAAATGTTGGACATAGTTTAGGAAAAGCCTCATACGGAGGACAAGGAGACCAAATGTCTGGTGAATCAGCCGTTACTGAGCAAATCCCAGGCGAGATCAAGCGAAGACTAATCATGCAAGTTAGCATAGACTCATGATGATAAGGCTTGGAAGCGAAGTGTGAAATAGCCTTGGCCTGGTTAGGGTTAAAATAAATACCACGGGTGTATCTGCCGTAAACTAAGCTTTCATGCCTCGGTGGCCTAAGCGAGGTAAGGAAACTGCAAATGCAGGTGAGGCAGTACGGGACGAACACCACTGGCTGACAACAAGCAAGCCAGCTAAGGCAAGCGCAGGATACGTGGCTCAAAAAAATAAGCGAATCATCGCAATAAAGTGGCTTTAGGGAAAAAAGTGAGGAGGAAGAGGACTCAAGGCAGGGGAAGATAAAAGGAGCAGCGGAAGGGCCAAAGATGAGTCATTATACCTCAGTCGCCTAAGAGATGTAAGAAAACAAGCGAGGCAACTCTACTAACCGGATTAGGCATAAACAGAGACTATGCAGACCAGCGGATGTAGAGGTGACCTATGAGGACGCAAGCAGAGATTCAGGACACGCAATCTGGGACAAAGTTTAGGAAATGCCACATACCGAGGTCGGGGAGACGAAATTTGTGACGAATCAGCCAGTACTGAGCTAATCCCAGGCGGCATGTATAGATTTATAAGCTCAGGGAAAGGTGGGATCATTAACAGAGAAAGCATGCAGGTTAACATAGGCTTACGCTGATAAGGCTAGGTAGGAGAGTATAAAATAGCCGTGGTCGGGTTAAGGTTAGTATAAATACCACGGGTGAAGCTGCTGTAAACCAAGCTTTTATGCCTCATTGGTCTAAGCGAGGTAAGGATACAGCAAAGGCAGGTGAGGCAGTGCGGGACGAAGGCCTGTGGCTGACAGCAAGCAAGTCAGCTGCAGTGGGAGCTGGATACGTGGCTCAAACTAATAAGCGTATCATCTGCTTGTAATGGCTTTAGAAAATATTTGAGGAAGAGTAACAATAAAGTAAAAGCAAATGAAAGTCAGCGGAAGTGACACACCTGCGTCAGTGTACCTCAGGCGCATAGTAGTTGTCAGAAAACGAACGAGAGAGCTCAGAAGAGACTGAATTAAGCGGAAAAAGTGGCTATGCGGCTCAGCAAACGTGGAGATAACATTTGAGGACGCAAGCAAAGATTCTGGACATAAGATCTGAGACAAAATTTAGGAAATGCCACTTACCGAGGTAAGGGAGCTGAAAGGTATGATGGTTCAGCCGTTACTGAGCTAATTCCAGGCAGAATGCATAAGAATATGTTGTAAACCAAGATTTTAAGCCCCAATGGTCCAAGAGAGGTAAGGAAACAGCAAAGCGCAATGTTCTCTCTTATCATAGCACTATACTAACTCTCAACGGCACATCACTATGTAGCAGCTGCACCGTGCGCTAACTTAATGTGCGATACTGTAGCTCGGTAACGTTTTCTGAATATGCAAGCTATAGCTCCGCCGGAAAAGGTCTGGTATTGGGTATCTACTAAGGGCATTAATTCTGGCAGTGTTTCCACACGCTCTAAAAGAACGTGCCTAACCGATTTTAGCGTACTACTCGATTGTTATCTCCAACTCACGCAAGTGAGTGGATGAGGATCGAGAAGGTCCATCAAACTTTCACTAAGCGCAAGCTTCGCCTATTTACGCTCAACTATCAAGAACACTGCAAACAGCTTGTGCTGGTGCCACTCTGGCGGCGCAGGCTTAAAGCCAACCTGTATTCTTCTAAAAACCAGTAAAAACCGCTGACTCAAACATAGGCGTACCCATGGGTGAAACACTAAACACCACACACAAAACGTCTCAAACCATCACCCTTGCTGAGGCACGTTGCAAACTTCGCACATGCTTCTTTCTCTACAGATATGTGCACAAACGGAACATGTTACCCGAAATAGACTTAGCGTCAGAAAATGCACTGGAATTCTCCTTGGCAATAAAACCAATATTAAGTATCCCCAAAGAGACTCAAACTGGGCGACTGCAGTACCGTGGACGAGTTCTGGCAACAAGGCCCCGCTCACATAAAGAGACGTATCCACCCAACAATTGCATGCTATATCTTCAAGTATTAAAGCAACAGTGTTCCATTCTCTGGATGTCCTCGCTCAAGAGTGCCTTCAAATTTCAGTCAATTTATTCCGCTCTCCACTTGTTATTGGTACTTTATTTTCCGCCCTGCATTTGTAGGAACCTTGCTCAATTCGAGATCATACTGACCCTTTATAGACTACTAACAACCGATAAACGGCACTGTCTCCTTTTCCTCCCCTCAGCCACCTACCTTCCTAATTGGAGCATACTGTATTGAGCGCAGACCTAACTTCCTTGTCCTGTATACTTACTACGCCACTGGCTTTTTGACTGTTCTTCCTTTCCACCGATTCCTCTTTTCCTCGCATTACTGGCCTTCCAAACTTTGTCGTCGCGGCCCCCATCTATATACAAGTATTATTTCTTTTAGCTAATGCATCACTGACACATCTGCACGCTTGTCCAACTGGCTCCTAATACGACTTAATGTAGGCTTCCCTTGCGTTCGTCAGTACACCAAGCCAGTTAATCCTTACTCCTCCAAACCTTCATTTTCCGATGAAAATCATCACTTTCCTTCTCACCTTATTTTTTCAGTCTGGCACCAAGTTGCTGACGTAGCTGATCCCGTCCGAACGTTCGCCTGCTTCCGGCCCTCCCCAGACTCGAGATCTAAATGATCTCGGCTCTGCCGACCAACCGCTTTGTAACATTCACCTGAAAAATTTTGACGAGCATAACTCGTTCTTATTATTATGCCACCATTCGCGCTAAACACTTCTATACCTCACGAAGTTCTCAGTTAATATTTCGACGAAAATTATGGCTTAAGCTTTAAGAGCTACTATGCGGTGTTGTTTAATGGTCTCTTAATTTCCTTTTACCGTGACTTTGTGAGTATCTTTTGCCAGACAACTTTTGCCAGGACAAGGACGTGGAGAAAGTGACCTACCACATAAGTAAATGCTGTTCGTTTTTGCATTTTTACCTAGCATTGTGTAGAAGCGCTAATTAAAACCTGACTATTGAATGCATTAGACAATGATCGTAAACGCAGCTGGATATGCAGGGCTAGTGTTGTTGCTACGTTGCAAACATGCCTAGCAAACTAGAATACCTGACTATATTGATTAATGGTGCTTAATACCAATACCTTGTGGAAGCCGTAAAGTTATAATTTTCAATGTCGGCAGTCTTATTTGATTTGATAGAGAAGTAACTGATGACATGAAAGGACCATGCGAGCACATTGCTGAAAACCGTACCAAAAGGAAGCGTTTTTCAACTTAGTAAGCGCAAAACAGGTCAACAAAATACAAAACACACAATTTATCGCTAAACAGCATCTAGTTTGCAGGCTTCGATGGTTAGTTATACTAAGCAAGCATAGCAACAAAATGTGTTCTCCAAATGAAAGTCCGACCTACAGTTTACACCAGACCGCGCATATTTTAATGCCGCCTTCGGACTAACAGCTTGCAATAAGCTCAATGATAGTTTTCAATGCGGTATATAAAACTAGTCCCAGTTTTGATGGAGCAATAATTTAATACAGTCGTTCAAAAAGTGAAAAAGTATGAGGTCAGAACCTATTTATTATCAAGACATTGAAGCTGGTGGTGTTGCAAGAAAAGTGTTATTGACCACCTTTTTATGACAACGCTGCTACGCTATGTTGGCTCAACGAACTCCGAGCAGTATCTTGTGGTTGCTCCCAAGAGAGTAATGGACCACCTTGTTAACACTGCTCAAAAACTGCCACGCTGTTTCGATGGTGACAACGCACCTTTAGTTTTTCCTAAGCACCCTTAGGAACTTAAAACCTTGCTAATATAGAAGGTAATATATTTATTTTCCTGTTTGACTCCATATCTGTTACATTCGTAGCAGAAATTACTAACATATTTTAACGGAAACTGATGCTGAAGACAGCGTGAACCGTCGTTTCCTATCTGCTACAAGCTACAACACGGCTAAAGCAAACTATCATCCTTACTACCATGGCAGTATGGCTAAAACCTAAGTTGTCGGCGTTACGTAACCATTCAGTACATCGCATAGATACTCGTGACCACTGCGCTTTCCCAAAAGTGGTCTTAGTCCGTTACATGTTATACTTTAGTTATGTCGAGACACTAATTAGTAACGGCTCGACTTTATCCAGTTGATAGTCTTACCTGTTCTAAAGATGAGTTGCCAAATTAGCGTAGTTGAAAAGCAGTTGTGATATGCAGACGGCTGGTTTGAATTTTATCTACTTATATCGTGCTATTTCTTCGTATGTTCTGTACTTTACTGTCCTTACATTCACATACAGTTTTCCCACGATGCAACATTTGGCTGAGGCCATGCATGAAATTTGCGACACGTTAGGGTAAGTGATGCAGACAAATGGATTCAAAAAGCGTTCTATTTGCACAGATTCAAGCATGTTGTCGTTTTTGGTGATGGAGTTGGAGCCAATGTTTTGGCCAGATTTGCAGTAAGTTGAGCACACACCAACACAAAATCTAGCGCCACATTTCTGCGAGGTTGCAAGAAAGGATTTGGTATTAGGTGCAGTGCTGATTAATTGCACCGGAACTGCCGCAAGTGTCACAGAAAGCTTACGAGAAAAGGTTAGTGAAGTTGCTAGATATGATTTGCTTACATTCGCAGAGGTTTAAAAGATTTTTACGACAGTATGTGGTATCTTTATGGTGTTAACCATCTTTTAATTGCTTTGGCTAATAGGTTTTGTGGCTTTGTTAAAGAAGACCCCAGAAAGCCAGGCTTAATATGATTGGTCTTCCTACGACGCAGTAAGGAAACGCGGTGAATTTTGTGCTCATATTTCAACAAAAGCGCAAGCTAAGGGAAATTACTAGTAATGGTACTAAACTAATAAACATGCGGTTATCTGTACTCGCATGTTTAGCATAATCAGTTTTATAAAATAGAACTTCACGTTGGACATTTATTCACTAAAATGTAGGATTATTATAGCTAAAACATGATACGTTGATAAGCGAATGAAACGATTTTCGGACTCTTATTGAAATTGCAACCGCCACTCCGACATTGTTAACTATCATACATACAGTTTACACTGTCACATTCCGTCTCATCGATTACAAACAATTTTGCACCAAGTTACATATTCAACTTGTCTCAAGTCCAAACGAAAAGATCTGTGATTGAAAATTCTTAGATTTGTTTAATTGTACTGAGCTGAAATCACATGATAATACATCATGCCAAGTTTCATGCATAGTAATGCCCAATAATGTCAACTTTGCCAATGTTTATCGCTTTAGTGCTGAAAGCTGCAATATTCGATATGCGCATGCAGTGGTTTTAGAATAACACACAATTGCAGTATCCACTTGTAGGTTATAGTGCGGAAATTACACTCTTCAGGAATGAATCCAACCGCGGAGGCACAATTGGTTCTTCATCGCTTTGGAGCGGTAAGTAACAACCTTGGCATTTAAAGATGTATAAAAGCTGTATAATGCAACCTAAAGTTTTCACTGTGGACAAGGATCGACTATACGTGTCATTTGATCACAAGCCTGTTTGTAAGAAAGGCTGCATTTTAATTGACAACTGGTAATGTGACTAAGAAGTAGTAACCCATTATCAACAAGTAGCGTGAGTCAAAAATACCTTTTGGCTGCTGCAGCTTAAAACCTGCAGGTTGCTTTAGTGATATAGGACATGGGCTCTTAAACAAAGTATTAATTGCAGTGAAGACAAAACTCTTTAACGTACTAAAGGGACCAGTGGCCAAATTCGGTTATAACTTTGATAAAACAAACATTGTTGGCTGCATAGAAAAACATGTCTTTCTATAGGCAAATCAGAAACTTATGTATTCGAAGAATGAAAATGTTAGTGTTCTGTCGCTTTGCTGTTCTTTTGGTTGTCTGAATTGGCGTGGCAGCAGACACCGCATAGCCGTAATTATAACATAATTGTTCCCGTAGAACTCTAAGCTGCCGGAGGATCCCTGATATATATATATATATATATATATATATATATATATATATATATATACGCACATATCTCAAAGCACGTCGATGCATTTTTAGTGCGCAACTCTCTATGGAACATGTATTGGCAAAATACTAAATGAATCACCGTTACTACTGCTAGCGAAAATAGTAGTAAATAGAAATCTGGACCAAACGGAGCCGAACAGCTTGATCGTATGGGACGGATAGGTACAATACCTATTGTGTATAAGCAAGGCCAAATAAACTTAGTGAGAACGTCGCAACGGAACAAAACGGTGGGGATCCCTGGAGCTGTTAGCAAAGCTCGAATACCGGGAAAAAGATGAATAAGTGATGAACCGTTGACTTAGCTCATTTTTACCGCCACGTGATCAGCTGCTTTGTACTTCATATTTAAGAAAGGTTTTTGTAGAAAGTAGAAGCCACGCTTAAACTGCACTATAATCTGCCTCGACGGGGAAACGAACCCCGGACGCACGGATTACCGGTCCCCTGCTCTACCAGCTGAGCTACAGAGGACTGACGATCAGGTGGGCAATTTAGTACATGACTTCTGCTTGGTTCGCGACGTATTGCCAATAAGCTCACAGAACCTGCCCTGATGTTGCAGATTGGCCCACTCAATCGTCAGTTCCCAATTAACCGAAGTACCTGGCCCTCAGATGTTCAAAGGGCGATGGTAAATTCAGTGTATTGGTGGTTTTGTGAGTGTGTAATTTTGTAGAAGGACAGATACTTGGGTTCATTTGGAACTGACGGTTGAGTGAGCCAATCTGCAACACCAGGACAGATACTGTGAGCTTATTGGCAGTACGTAGCGAAACAAGCAGAAGTCATTTACTAAATTGCCCACCTGATCGTCAGTCCTGGGTAGCTCAGTTGGTAGAGCAGGGGACCGGTAATCCGTGAGTCCGGGGTTCGTTTCCCCGTCGAGGCAGATTATTGGGCAGTTTAGGCGTACCTTCTACTTTCTACAAAAATAGCATACTCACAAAACCACCAATACTCTAAATTTACCATCGCCCTTTGAACATCTGAAGGACAGATATTTCGGTTCATTGGGAAGTGATGATTGGGGGATCCAATCTGCGACGCCAGGACAGATTCTGTGAGCTTATTGGCAATACGTCGCGAACCAAGCCGAAGTCATGTATTAAACTGCGCACCGGATCGTCAGTCTTTGGTAGCTCAGTTGGTAGATCATGGGACTGGCAATCCGTATGTCTGGGGTTCGATTCCCCGTCGAGGCAGATTAGTGTGCGGTTTAATCGTAACTGCTACCTTCTACAAAACCATTTACTCACAAAACCACCAATACTCAAAATTTAAATAGTGGACGAATAACATAATGTGCTAACAAGTGACAGAACTTAAATAAATAAGTCTTAGATCGAAGCAGTGTTGCTAAGATGCATTGAATGAAGCGCGAATTCCTGCTGCTCTTGCGTCAGAGTTATTCTATGGAGCGGTGATGCGTAACTTCTAAGTTTTTTGTTTCCAGAATGATTTTCATCAATAAATGAATGAACCACAAGATGCATAACACTTCATCTTGATTTTTTGATCTAACTGGATTATCATACTAAGGTACATTCGTTTAACCTTTCCCACCGACTAGGACTAAGCGGCTTTTGTATGGCTTCTTTCCAGGCAACAAAATTAGGATGTTTGTTAGAGCCAATCTTTTATCAGATTCATTGGGCTTGCTTTTTATTATACTATTCTTAGACATTCATCACCCAGCTTTTGTGAAATAAGATATCGTAGGTAATCCAACCCATATTAACTGGTTTACCCGTTCTTTACGAATCCTAACAGGATGCAAACCTTTCTCAATATTGATCGATCCAAAAAGAAATAAGCAAAAGTATTAGGTTTATCTCCAGTATTGTGTCGGTCCTATTTCATTGTGAACGAAAACAGTATGTAAGTCTGTCCGCAAATAAGTGCTTGCTTAACTGTGGAATATCACGAGTGGTTAATATGGATGAATGAGATGACGACGCGTAAGCGCTCTTGACCTGCCTGTGAGCCGTGATACCATCTGTATGGCCAAAATATACAACCCTGCTGTATGACATTGATAAATGTAACAGCATTACTTAAACAGCATTACAGCAGTCTTACTGATTAGAACCGAGCAAAGCAGCCGTCTCAATGTGCTAAAAATAAGTTTATCCAAACTTTTCGCTTAAGTTAAATCTGTATACATATTATCTAAAAGGATCTGCTAAGCGTGTTGTATTCATATCCACAAACAGTCTACCACTCCCGATAACGTCCTTATGTACATCACCAGATAACACACTGAAACAGCAGCCAGATTTTATGCCCTATCAGGACTAGAAATCGATTTGCATTACTGTTATACACTTTCCCATATTTCGTGGTCATCGCATTAGAAGTTACTTGTATTTACACGAACACGACGTCACAGACGTGTCTGGTTGAAATAGAGAATGTATAATTTCTTTGTTTAACAGCCAGGTTACTGAACCAAGTGGCTAAGTTCTCAGCGCAGATTATGCGATGTTAGCTGCTTTGGATTGGCTACGTTTTGTGTTTAATCGTTGCCTACACTGAAAAGGGTAAGTGTTCGAACTGACCAGTAAAAATATATTGACCGACAACTATAGCTGTCAGCTAGCCATGTCAGCAAATGTATCCAGCCAAACCTGTTCATCGTCTTTTGGACCTTAGCCAAGGAGCCGTGACGCTCCAATTGAGGCTCCGAAAGTGAAAATATTCATTTCTTTCGACCTAGCCATCGATTGGCCACTTCTCCTCTTCTTCCATCCACCCCGGCTAGCAAACAACCCACGTCGCGTGAGCAGGTGGACGGGTATGCGTAATACGTGGCCGATCCACCGCAGCCTGATGCGTAAAATGCCAGTGCTGAGCGGTTCATTTCCTTGTCCTGTGTCGTAAACAAGGCGTCGAACAAGCTTATTGCTCACGCGGTGTTCCCACCAGATGTGAGCCAAACTGCGAAGGCACCGATGGTCGAAAGTAACTAGTCTCTTTACGTCCGCTGACCTAAGGAGCCAGGTTTATCAACCGTACAATAAGGTCGAACGTACCGCTGCACTGTACACTCTACCCTTCAGGGCGAGAGTGGTGCCACGCCACCGCCTCAGGTGGCGAAGGTTAGCAAAAACACCTTGAGCTTTTGCTATACGTTTGGTCATCTCATCTTTGATCCCAGCTAGACATTGAGAGACCTTATGAGTTCCGTGATATTAAGCCAGGTCGGAAAGTTTGCGTTTTTCACTACACATGGTATTAAGTCGTCACAACTAGGTATTCTAGCGAACCTAAATGTCACGAACAGTAGTGGGAGCGTAACAAGGTTTTGTTTTCGATAAGTCAAGTCAAGTCAGGTCAAATAACGTTTTATATATCAAGTTGGGTACGTTTTAATACTTCACCAAATATACAAGGGGTGAGCTAAACTTACTTTATAAAAAATAACTTTATAAGAATGGATAATAGAAAATTGTGTAAAAGTTGCAGCGAAATGAAAGGTCAGTGTAAATACGATGCAATTAAACAGTTCCGAACAACATAATTTAAGGCCAGCGTTGCAAGCTAGACTTTACATCGGGACCGTTTATTATTACTTGCGCGTTATCCTGAAATGTTTTCAAATATTACCCGGAGGACAGCAGCGGTGACCTTGCAAGTAGCTTGCCAACTATCCATGTTGAAATATGCTAAGACCACTAACGTATCCATAACGATATTATAACAGTGATGTACAGTTACAACGGCACGGCTAATTTACAGGCCCCGCCTAAGTAAGGTACACTTATAGTTCTTGGAAACTTTTGGAGGGAGTTAATTACGGTCACGTACCAGCAATTGCTTAGATTGCGATTGGAGTATATCAGCAACTGGTTAATATTTTCGGAGAAAAGTTTCAGCCGATTTTCCAGTCTTGTCTGTTGTAGCGGTAATTTACGTGATACTGTTGTAATCTTTATGATGCCAAATGTTACCACTACTTTGTCATCAGTTTAATCTGCTATTTCAGGCAGTTGATTTTTCTTATGACACGTTCAACCACATGTCAACAACGTTCTTTTTACCAGCTTATCTACAAGCTGCCTTAAGACAGCCGTTTTCAAGGCAACTCATTCAAGAAAAAGTAGTGCCATGATTTAAAGCACCACCTTCTTGACAATTGCAAAACGAGGAAAGGAGCTCTGTGCTATTTCGCAACACAGTGGTGACTTACCAATTCTGAGCTAAATCAAGATAGACAACCATGTATTATCATTTCCAAAGAGAATTTCACTTATTTCGATGATTAACTTGATGATGCGTTCATCTGATCGTCGTACTTCATAGCACTGCAAGGTGTGAAAAAATTGTTCAATGTTTCGAGCTGCTTTCAGCTTATCCTCATAGCACACGCTATTCACTAGTATTGTGTTTGTTAGTAAAAAGTAGTGCTACTTTAAATCGTCAAG